AGAACAAGTAGTTCTATCAACTAGATGACAGCAGGAAAAAAGGGGAAAATTATTTTATTTCTTTTTCAGAGGCACTTAGTGTAGACTATCATGAATAGTGTAAGATAACCTGAGTATCAGATGCAGTTGACTTTCAACATAATAATATTTCTACTGTTAAATGAAACTAATGAATAACTGTTGCTTTTTTCCATTTAGATTAAATGCAGTTGGCAGCTTAACATTCAGACACATGCAAATGGATAAGGATAGTTGACCAGAACCTTAAAGAGGAATAGTTCTACTTAAAACATACTTCTGACAAAGCAAAAATTCACATCTTCTTATCTTTTCAAAATTATTATTACAAGTGACATTTTTCATTGTCAGACAAAGACATTGTCTTTTTGCAGCTTCTCTTTTGCATATTAAAGAGAGCACTTCTGTTCCATTCTTAGTCACAAAGTCAGTTTGCTGAATAATTTCCTTTGTTTGCAAGACTGCCACAACAATAGAAAAGAAAGAACATCTTGCAAAAGGAAAAAAAGGGCTTAAAAATAATTTTTAAACCTCTGTGCAACTCAGCCCTTACTTGGATACCCAATCTACATCTCAATGAATTAAATACAAAACACACTGCTGAGTTAAATGTATCACTTTGCACTACTTCAAAAATAAACAAGTAAAAAATGTTGGGTGAAATAAATCTAAAAATAATATGGCCATATATTTTCTCCTTTTCAGTCACTTCCATGTCACACAGTGAATACATAGCAGAATATATTAAAGAGGAGTTTCTTCAGTTATAGCTCAATATCGTAAACACTCATCACAAATCTGTCCTGTTTGTACAAACAGAACCTGAAACAGCCTTAATTAAAATATTACTAAATCTAACAACAGCTAATTCCAAATTAGACTTGCAACTGCACTATACCGCTAAAAAAGATATTTTTTTTCCCAAGTCTGAATCTCAGGTTCCCTGAATTCCTTTATGTCCATAGCAAATAACCAAATGAACAACTTAACACAAATACCCTGACTCTCTCAAAAACAGTTGGATAGTAGGAATATCCAGCAAAAAGACAAACTATTATCTGAGTAGTTTCAGAGAAACTGTCACCTTCTGCTGTCAGAAACTAAGCAGGACTCTTCTTTCCACAGCCAAGTCTTCAATTTGTATTGTCAGACACTATATAAATGTGTGAACACAAACTTGCATTAGATAATCGAAGTAAACAAGAAATTAATTTATAATAAAAGCAAGAATCTATTTTTCCTTTTTTCCAATTGCCAGATTTCAACAATGTGTAAATACAAAACAGCACAAACCCTCCAACTACTTAACTGTGTTAAACATAGGAGACACATATTTCAGTGATTCCCTAATAGCTGATCCTACATCTTTCAAGTTCTTTTTACAAGCTGGGAAGTGACTTGTTCAGTATTTTGTAGCTATTAGATGTTATATAAGAGCCACAAACTACTCCCATTTTCAGGACACACACTATATTTATGCATTTAGAAGAAGCCTCTTTAAAAATACATAAGAATTAGTTTTTAAGGCTTTCCAGAAAAGCCTATTAGAATCCTTACTCCTGATCAGCTCTTAGCAGATTCTTCTCAAAAATGTATGAATCTGCTAAAAGGAAACCATGTAAAAAAAACCCTATAAAAGTACTGCAATCCTTCTTGTGCAGCTTAGAGGGGACCCACCACAGTCTCTTGGGCAGCTACAAAACTGTAACAATATTAATGACTCAGGAGGAGGCCCGTGCCAGAAAATTGCTGCATCTTTGGGTAGAAAATCTGAGTCCTGTATCAATACCATATTGGGATCATATTTACACTAGAACTGACATAATCTCAGATATTCAATGAACATTATAACTGGTACTTGCAAACCTTTAAGTCTGTCATTTTGACTAGTCTGAGAAATACAAAACCTAAAAAACAGCAAAAGTAAGGTTTCAAGTAATTTTCATTTTTACAGCTGAATAATCTTAGAGCAGACTTTTCCTTTTTAAGGCTTAGGCTTTCCTTTTACAGCTATGCCTTCAACTACACCTAAGAAGTTTTCATTATGCTATTTGAACTAAATGGTGTAGTCACATATAGCTTTGAAGAGCTTTCTGGTCCCCTTCCACATTTCATCATCTGATTCACCAAGGTTCCTATTTTCCTAGCAAAAAATGAAAGGGCAGGCAAGAAAAATACTATTTAGGAATGCGTTACTTTGCTGACTAGAAAGAAAAATTAACCAGCAGCAATAGGTGTTCTTCAAGTCACATAATCCCCATATAAATTGTAATTACATTCCATCACTTGAAACCGGAAAGTTTTCCCATGCATTATTCATAGAAAACACATGCTTGCTTGCATGCTTACTTTTCCCTTTTCCCTATTCAGTGCAGGAAAAATAAGATGGAACATCACTATTTATCCAATTAGTTGCTTCTCAACAACCATGTGCTCGGAAGGACTGTAAGAAAGATGGACAGACAAGCAAAGCACAAATATACACTGGAAGAACCCGTTATTTAATGCAGGCTATTTACTACTAATGTTTCCTTCAGAGGTTCCACATGGGCATTCCAACTCCAGACACAGGGCAGTCACAGTTACCCACCATTCCCTGGCAGAAAGCAAGAGAGGCTTTCAGGTAAACAGCAAAGGGAGAACCATTTTGTCAAACACCACCAGCTTTCAAAGCCTCACAGATAGTATTCGATGAAAATGAGGGAGTGGATGAATGCCAGGAGTGCTGGAATGGGAATGTACCCTCCTGGTGCCACAGTCACAGAGATAGCAGAGAAAAAGGAGAAGGGCACACTGCAAACTTACACAGCACCAGACGAGACTTCAGGGAATTACCCACGTGTCAACGTGAACATTTAATCTGTCCATTCAACTTCCACTGTGAGCTCACAGATGAAAAAATGCCTTGGCTTTCAGGCACAGCCAAGAGATGGGAAACTCCATCCTGTATAAGCTTGACATAAGCACTCAGTGACATTAAGAACAAAGCTGATTTGACCAGCTTGAGACTGCTGGCAGCCATGATTTCCCAGCTTGAAAATGCCTTCCTATTCTGAGGATGTCAGTAGAGATCTTGAGTCTGCACTCTTATCCTGGCAAGCAAGCAGGGCTGGACAACTGGCAAATAAAGTAATCCTTAGGAGCCTGGCCTTGGTCAGGCAATAAAAACATCTGAATGTGCATCAGAAGATGTAAAGTCTTAGGTAAAGTAACCAAAACTCCACGTGACTGGAAGATTTGCAGAACAATGGCAAGGACCTTCTGCTTTAAAGGTAAACGTCCAGTAGAGAGTGAAGATAGACAAGAATGCACGAAATCCGTGCACCACAAGGAGAAATTTCTCAGTAACATAGGGATACACGAGGTTAAAATATACATGGAAACTCGTATGAACTAAAAAGGAACCCAACATAATGCAAGTATAATGGCACTAAGAAGATATTTCTCTTCTAATACACTTTCCCCTAGGCTAATTTATAACCAACAACGCTAAAATACAAGTTCCATGCTATTGTTATTTAATTTATTCTATCAATGGCTAACAGAGCTTAGAATTCAATGTTCAAATATAACACAGAATCCTAAAAAACAAAACCCCACATCTTTGCAATTTAACTTCCCAGCAATCAACATTAAAATCAGTACAGCACTGTCTCCAAGAATGTGGAAAATTTGTTTTTCTTAAAACCAGTACAGCATCCTAAAATAAATAAGGATTAGCAAGATTTACAGATCTTGAAAGTTTATCAGAGGGCTTTCTGAAATTCCAATGAGTTTCACAATTCAGAAAGATAAACAGAACTATTACAGCAAGAATATAGAGCACTGTGTGTACCAACTTATCCATCAATGGAAAAACAGAGAGCAATAAAAAGAGAAAATTCACCTCCCTTCCAAAACGAGAAAAAACTTTAAAAAAGTGAGATCCACGGTTTAGAGAAGCAGGGGAATGTTTTTAATAACACATACATACTCAAAAATTCTTTCAACAGATACTTGGAAAAGATGATTTGTGATCATAAAGCTGTTTTGACTTTAACTGGTAGAACTAATTCTGAGGTTAGGCATTGTTAAATAAATGTTTCAATAAACCCAAACAATTTTACCAAAATGTCTCAGTGAACGCAATGGAAACTAAGACAACAAACAAAATTTCTTCCCACAGAGTATGATGTGGTTTGAGAATTCTATTGAGCCAGTCTAACACTAAGTTGTTGTCCAAAGATTCTTGCAGCTTTACTCCTCTCCCACCACGTTTTCTTACTCCTTCCTTTTGAAAGCACTGAGACTCTTCTGACCTAACCGAGACACAATTCAAAGAACTAATCCTTGAAGAAACTTCTTTTTTTTCCTTTTGGATTAGCTTTCAGATGAGAAGACAGAAATTCAACAGCAATGCTACAGGAAGGAGCATAGGGCTGCCAAAATGGACAGAAAACAGAACAATATCTGGCCTTTACATCAGCTGGGCTGTTCTGCTGAGCTCCAACTTCAGTCACTGTAGCTCAGCTTTAAGCTGTAACAGCCCTCCCTGCAGCACAGCTCTGCTCTGTCTCACTATTCTTGCAGCTCTTTTCAAAGAAGTTTGAGTCATTAGGATCTCACCTGAAATCACAGGCAGAGATTTCCAGTTCATTACAACAGTTTTCTTTAAAAACATCTTCACAACTTTCTATTACTACTAAAAATCATATCGTCCTACAAGTAACTGGATAAAGCAAAGATCAAAGTTTTCATGGTTACCCATCACAGCTAAACATTAATAAATTCCATGTAACTAAATTTTTTCCCCTCTTGTAAAAACTCAAATTTAATTTTACAGTTTCACTATTTTTCCTATTGATACTGTCAGCATCAATATTCTGCAACACAAAGATGTAACACTAAGATCCACAAAAAGTCAGACCATAACATTGGGCAGCAGATTTATCACCAGGAATATTCACAAGCTTAGGAGTTCACTTTCACAAATCATTGCTTACCTTTTCTAATGCAGATCAGTTCATGTACACCACAAGTTCGTTCTCCACCTGTGTGGAAATACACCATTAGAAAACAGTAACAAATACATTTTATTTCATTTCTGAATAATGCTTATAAACAGTGGAAAAGAAAGCTCACGACTCCGTCAATTAATAAAAATGCAGAAAATTGACTTAAAAAATTTTCAAATTATACATTAAATGTTTTGGAGAAAACAATAAATGTACCTCTGGGTTAATATTGCTAATGGTGGCACGGTTTGAAGACTTTTACACTGAATTTATACCGATACAACTACAAAAGCAAGCACCTTAACTGAAGCCACACTAATGTTTCTCAAGTATAAACATAAATTTCCTGTTTGGAGAAAACTACCCTACAGAATGGCATTTACAGAAGAATTGTGAAAATATTTTTTAAAAATCCAATATAAAAGAATGTCAAAATAACATTATGATTACCTTCCATGGTAAAAATCCAATCGTAAAAAAACCCCACCAAAACCCAATCCTATTAACAAAGACTTGGTTTGCCTAGAATTTTTCCTTTAGATGTATTTTAAATTAAGAAACAGCTGTATAAAACTTGAGATATTTATTCGAGAATAATAAAATTCTTGCTAGAAATACTACGCTTTTTTTTACATTTTAATAAAAATCATTTTAATTGGAATTACATCTGATAAACAAAACACCAACACTAATATCGAAATAAATATCTAAATATCTCAACTAAATATCTAAACTAAAAATATTTTGGAGTGATATGCCCCACGATCAAACCTTAAAATTCCAAACTACATCAAGCTTTGGCTTCTCTTAAATACACCCTAACCCACTCAGCCTTTTTTCACCAACAACAAAAGAGTGCATGGATATGAATACAGAACTGGGGATTTCGTACAGCACTTGGGTCTTCATACCCAGTTCTCTACAATCTCATGAAAATACAAAACAGAGTTCCAAAACCTCACAAAACATCTATTTCATATGCATTAATCACTCCCTGGCTCCAGACATTGCAAAATGCACTAAAATAAGCTTTAGGTAACAAAATTCTCCCCATCTCAATAATATGGAAATATATTATATAGCAGTTACTACTCTCCTCCATTCCATAATAAATTAATTATGACATATAATACAGCATGTGATGATATCAACCAATACTTCAAAGTCTTAATTGGCAACACTAGCACATGGTATTGTAAAGCTTTAAGTAAATACCTGTATTTCGACTTAAATTTACACTTTAAAGAAATAACAGTAGGAAATCCATATATTGGAGTGAGAAAGGATAAAAGAGATCAAATAAATGGAATAAAACATAACTCTTCTAAAATTATATATTTGTGAAAGTAAAAAGAATCCTCATTTTATTTCAACATACTCAAAAATATGAAATACAAGCTTCAAATATACTCTTGAATGGGAAATCAAGTATCAGTGAGTCTGAGGACCCCAGGAGTTTTGTAGAGTCATTACCCTTACAAAAGACATTTGTGACAACAATATAATTCCCTCTTTTCAGTGCATTCTAGAAGCTGGGCAACATCATTTTCATTCAGAAAGGATTTTGGAAGGAAAACGTAAGGAAAACTAAATTAAAAATATAATCTGCTTTTATAATAACAAGGCATTAAGGAATAAAACAAAACCCAAAACCAGACAGAGGGAGAAGATTACCATCTTCTTTAAAGTCATTCCAATCATCTCCAGGGTACAAAAGATAAACCAGAAGAGTGACCCAAAGTCTTCTCCCTAAAATTTTTCCCCTGCTGGTTTTAAATTCAGCAGTGAAGAAAAAATAAAAATTACGGCAAAAAATAAAAGGATTTGTCATTACACAGATGCCAGACAGTTAAAAATAAAGATTCACCTAGAACTGACTGAGGGAAGAGAGGAGCAATAGATTTTAATTATATTCACTGCTCTCAGTGAAATCAACCAGTTTGAAACCATAGCACAAAATACTAATTCTAGATTTGGATTCTGCATTGCTACCTATTGTTTTATAAAGCAAGAGATTTTTACTCAAACATTTAACTTCTAATGTAAGATGGTGTTCCACCAAAAAACGCCTTTATATTAATCAATATGTTACTTTTTATTGACCACGAGGCTACAAAATAAATTTATACTACTTAACGGGCATACAGTCAGGATTTTATTTCTTTACATTTTCCTAGAAAATTCTAGAATGTTATTTCTTTTTTTTAATGGGTGATTCATTTATTACATTTTTTTTCAAACTGCTTTTGGATAGAAATCAACTGTTAAATAAAAATACATCAAGTGATATAAAAGTTTTAAAAAGTATCTTTTATATTTTAAATTAACCAATGTATTAAAGACGTGAAAATTTTATCCTCAAGTGACCTGGACAGATTCTTTTCCCTATGGTCCTCAAAACTGTGGAACTAATACATTATTCACACCTTGCTTTTATTTGTGGATTAACAAATAAACCCAAGTTTTTCCATCTTTACAGCTCCCAAGAATTCTCTCAGCTTTTAAAAAAATAGTTACAGAAAGAAACCAAACTGAAAATATGGAAACATTTTGCATGACAGCAAGATGCCAACCATTAATTTACCTTTCAGTTTGAAAATAGTGGGTTTGTGTCGGTTAGCCCACAAATCCCAAAGGTTCAGTGGCATGACACATTTAAATTTTATCCTTTAAATATTATTTTTAGGTAATTTATCACAGTATAGTGTTAGTTCACCATAATGTTATGGTTAGTTAAAATTTAAGCTTGATTTAGACACAAATTATTATTAGTTCCATTCCATCTTGACTATGAAGATGATTTCCTATTTAAGATTTTGATGTTCTAAGTGACTTTGCATATAAAACATAATACACTGTCCAAAATGTAATCTGAGAATAGAAACAAACCCACTTGGGTACACAGAGCTTTTATAATGTCAGACAATGGAAGTAAAATTAAAAATAATGAAAGATCAAATAATTTCAGAACTGCACATTCAACAAAACATTTTCATTTCCATGAGCAAGAAGAACCACCCAGTGGTCCTAAAAATCTAAATCATTCAACCATTCAATACAAAAAGAATGGCCAGATGTTTTCCAGAGGCAGCTGAAATACATGATGAAGTTTAATTCTCTCAATTTAAGACAAAGGTTTTTGTATACCAAATTTCTATTTGCCAAGATGATTATGACAGCAACAAGATGAAAAGATGTACATCAAAGAAGATGAATACTGAATTTTGTATTAATTGAAAATTTTATGTCTTTCCAAACTAGCATAATTCAAAATTCGAAGTTCTACATTGAGAGTTTAGCTGGAATTTTACCAATTAGATGCTGATAATTGTCAAGGAAATTTAGCACGGGCATTACCATAGACTGATTTAGGTTGGGAATGAATGACATCTGGTGTTCTCAAACCCTTCAGAGCAGGACCAGGAGCAGTGTTACAGAAAGTTCCTCTGAGCCTCAACCAAGCACATTCTGCAACGACCACAATTCCAAGACCTCTCCAGGCACCAGCGGTTCTCAGGGAGAAGGTGTCACCTCTGTCACTGAGAGCACTTGTCCCTTACAGCCAGCCAGGACTCTCCTTGAGTCATACCCACTGCCCCACACGCTTTTACCGGGCAGCTTAAGAACCCATCTCCATCCCTTGCACAGTGAGAGACTGTAAGGCTGTCACATTTCCCCAGACTGCACAAATCTATTTCCTAAGCCTCTCCTCACGTGCCAGGTACTCTAAGTTCCCTCCCAGCTTAGTGGCCCTCTGCTGAGGTCTCTCTGCTTTGTCAGCCTGGATTAACACAGTTGGATTCAGGCCACGTGGCTGGTCCATGCTCAGCTCGCTGCTCGCCAGCATCCTCAGGGTCTTTTGTTCCGAGGTGCTCCTCCCAGCCTGCCTGCCTGCAGTGCGGGCCTTGGACCTCACCTGTCTTTGTGGAACTTTCTGAGGATCCTTCAGCCCACTCTGAGCTTGCTGAGCGCTTGTCAGGTAGCAGCCCTGCCCTCCAGCTTATTAACTACTCCTTCCCTGGCATCATCCATAAACTCAGCCAGGGTACATTCCATCCCACCAACAAACACAGCGCACAGTTCCAGTTCCAGCACCAAAACTGTGATGCAACTTAGGCTGCTGCGTATAAAATTCATTATTCTTCAGTTCAGCAAAAAAATCCATGTTGGTAGCTGCAGTAGAACATTACACTGTATCACAAAAGCCATTTGTCAGCAGGTGTAATTTTTCGGATGCACTTTTTACATGATAAATTACTTTCCTGCTGAGAATTGTTTTTTAATTAGCATTTTCATAAGTTTGGATCACATTCAACAAACGTTTACTTAACATTTTATTCAACAATAGACAACTATTTTTTCCCTTGGCAAGCCCACGACATTCCAGCACAGAATGACAACAGGTGGAGTAGCAGGAACAGGGTGCTACGGTGTAGAAACATAAAACATGATAAAAGAGATAAAGCCTAACACAATGTTAATGTTGCCACGTCTAAACAAGTGGAAACGCTAATGCTTTGCTAGGAATGCAGGAGACCCAGGAAAACCATTCTTATGTTAAGAGTTTCATACAACATGGTACAAATTTATTTTAAAAGACAACTATAATGAAAGACTTCTGGGCTCCATTACCAACAAACCTACTTGAAAAACTGCCTCACGCCTTGAACTGAATTTAAGGAAGAATCTGAGTTTGGATGAACAGACAGCCAACAGTAATGGAAAATAAACAAAGCTGAAGACTCCTGCACAACAGCAACCCTACAGCTGCTATCAGTGTTTTTCCTGAAAAGGTTGCATACAATCATTAGCCCATCCTCACTCATGGTGTAAAATCACCTCTGCATTCCTTTAGCATCCTTTTTCACAAGTTTAGTCTACAAATAATACTGCATACATAAAAATTGAAATGTTTAAAGTTCAATGCTGAGAACTAGTCTAAAAGCAAACGACATCTGAATTTATAAGGAGAGAGACAACAAGGTAAAATTAAAAATTTGCTATTTTATATACTTATTTATACGTTTACATCTTTTACATTTTGTACAGTTTTGATCTCCTCTTGGTCCCACAACCTCAAAGAATAAAATAGAACCACAGACGACACAGAGAAAGACCAAAGAAAAAGTCAATAAAAATGGTTAAAACACAAATATGGTTTCCATATGAGGAGTG